TTTTTTTTTTTTTTTTTGAATATCAAATGTTAACTAGACATTATAAAGGTTTAAATTTACCTTAACCTTAATGTTAAATCAAAAATTTTAAATTAATGAATATCAATTTAACCAAATTCTTATTAGTGAATAGTATACCTAGATAAACTAACATACCATGACGCAAACTTCTAAAATGTCACGTTCTATGGACTCTTAATTCTAATGAAGATGTATTTAAAAAGTTATAAAAAGTTTGAAAGAAACGTGCCCCTACCAGATATTTGATCCTAGACAACCATCTATGTGGCCTTCCTATCTTCTTTCAAATTTCAATTGAGTCACAAATTTACGCAACATAGCCATCCTACCAAACAAAAAAAAAAAGGACAAGTATACTATCATATATGCTACTGAGGGTATTTTGGGGATTGGAAAAAGAAGAAGAGAAGTAGGGCAACAAGGCAAGTGAAAGAGACATTGTGGTAGTGTGGTCAGGTCTCATTCACAAAGAAGTTTTTGAGGAAAGCAATTTCCATGCAGCTTCGTATGTTTTGTTTTTATGTTAATGAATTATCACTTTCTATACTTAGGAAACGGCTAACTGGCTTCGCCCACATTAACACACCACCCGTTTCCCCTCAAATACATACATTATTTACATAAAAACAAACTCAATTCCCTCATCATCTCTATCTCTCTACTCTCTTGTTAGGTACAGAGATAACAGTATATATGAATATATTATTAAAAATTAGGACTTTTTGTGGACATCTTTTCATTATAATGTCCATAAAAACAAACTCTATCTCATCAATCATAGAAGTAGAACAATAGAACATGATTCAATCAATACTCTCCTAGCTCCTAACTAAAGGCTAAAGCTCCTACTTGACATATCCCTATGCTTGAGTTTTCAAATATATTCCCTTTACATCATTCAATAGCTAGTTATTTATCTAATTAACCCTTTTTTCCTAAGAGAAAAAAAAAATGAAGAAAGAGATTAATTGTTACATATTAGTAGTTGTGTTGCATCCCACTAAGATGTTATCCATTTTGGCGAATGGAATCCTATAATTTTGTCCTTAAAAAGGTCTGCATGAAAGGAAGGGTTAACTTGCTTCTTTTTTAAGTCATTATAGTTATGGTTGTCAAAATTGTGGTTTTACTCATAAAATCATATGATTTTATATTTTTAAATATTCAAATTAAATTAAACCGAGTTAAAAACTAAAATCTCATAAATTCGAGATAAAATTGTGGTAAAATCATAAAATCGGGTATGATTTTACAAGTTTCAAAGGTTTTATAGGTTTTTATGATAAAACTTGACAATAAATCTTTTGCAGTGCAGGGGGAGTTGCACACCTTTACACAAATAAAGGTTGGCAGACCATGGTTCGTATTTTGTCCATGTAATTTGGCTTATTTTGGTTGTCAATGAAATATATCCAAGATTTATTATTTTTTACATGATACACAAATAATTTTTTATGAAATATATTTTTTTAGGTCAAAACTATTAAAATTTGAAATAGTTTAATGATTATAAAATAAAAAAAAAATTCAACAAAGCTTGAAATAACTAATTAGTAATTAGCATTTTTAGATAAATTTTAAATTTGAATATCTGATATTAAATTTTAATAATATTTAATTTTTTTAATTAATTTAATACACTCTTAATTTTACTGATCCAATTTTACCATTTTAATTTTACCTCATCAAAATAATTTTACCTAAAATCTCAATTTTAACAATCTTATCTAAATGCTTGGTTCTTCCTCACTCCAAAGAAATTCATAGGGTATCTTCAGCAAAATTAGATGTTTCCAACTATTTAAAGATAAGAAAACTGAGCTGATGGTTTGCTGTTATGCTGCTATTACCCAATTTACAGAACTTTTAGGATTTAGAAATCAAGGAGAATAGCTGTAGGTAGAAGAAATTTGGGAGTTTTGACAGAGTTCTTTCTAGGTAGTAATTAGATTTATTGACAAAAGGAAAATTATTAATTTGCACAACTTAGAGGCGAACATCCACATGTAGAGTTGCAGAGCACCTAGGAAAGTCTACCGTCTGGTACTCCTGTTTGTGGATTCTGTGGATATGTAGGTCACGTCCAAGTTATAGAGGGTATTTATTGTTAAAAAAACAATAATATTTATTATGTAAATAGAAGGTTTAGCCTTGCCAGTTCCACGTAGGAAGATAGAAGTGCTCAGCGCATGTGCTCTCTATAGTCTCTCCTTACCATGTTCTACGGTTTTCTCCAGCTGAGGATGGCCACAATTAATGCTTTAACTTCTTACTCCATGTGAAGTCATAGTACTGCAAGAAGAAGCTACCTCTATTGCTGGTGAAGAGACTGTTGTTACATCTCTTTATAACTACTAAATACTCATATCTAATAGGATCAGACTTGTAAATTTAATGATTCGACTTTAAATTTTAAAGTGTTTAGATGACTTGTAAATTTAATGATTCGACTTTAAATTTTAAAGTGTTTAGATGAAATGGTTGGAGTTTCGAATATCACCACCGTCTTGAAAACTCCATTCCCCCATCTCCCAAATTGTACACTGTTAAAAAAAAAAGTACTCATATCTAATAGATTTATAGGTTCAGATTTAGTAATATTGACCTTAAATTAATAAAATTACTTCTGTGAATTATAATTTTAACCTCCACGAATTTTCTTTCTTATGTCTTTTTGTTCCTTTCCTCCGGTTGTAATCATATTAAAAATAATAATAATAAAAAAAAAAAAAACAAAACCAAGTACTCATACCTAATAACTTGACACCCAGTTTGATCTTGTGAATAGGTAGTCCATTTTCAACTTATAAATAGAAG